ACATACATACATACATACATACATACATACATACATACATACATACATATTTGTATCATGATTGGTAGATTGGTGCTGATTGGTGCTGGCTGTGTGTCCGTTGTTGTTTTGTGTTGTAACGGCCTGGGTGGTGGGTGGGGCTTGTTTGTTGACTAGGGCTGGTTTCCAGATGTCTCGTAGTCAGGAGGTATCATCATGTTTATTCATGTTGTGGGGTTTCCATGCGCCTTCAGCATTTAATCATGCCGGCCACATGAGCACGGAGACGTCTTTGGACAGTGCTGGCTCTTTGGCTTTGAAACAGAGATTAGCACCACCCCGCTTGGGAATGACAAGCACATATGTGCAAGGGGAACCTTTACCTTATATATATAAAAATGTGAATGGCTCAAATGTGCTATGGGACATTTCAGCTGAGTTCATACAACAAGCTTAGTCTTAAACCTGGGTCAAGAAAACATAATGGGTGGGTTGACCCAAAATGTTATGCTCAAAGATGTAAATTCAAGTCCATCTTGATGGAAGGACCTGGTTCATTCACTATATGATGAAATTATGATTTCACAGCATGTTGAACGACAAATACCCAATTTATTATGTTGGTTGAGCCTATGCAGGTAATTGTTGACTTACAACAGTTTATTTAGTGACCAAAGTTAACAAGAGCACTGAAAAAAGTGACTTATGGCCATTTTTCACACTTACAACTGTGGCAGTATCCCCATGGTCACATGATCAAAATTCAACGGACTCATATTTATTTATTTTTAATGTATTTTTTTAAACAAATAATACGAACAGTGCATAGACATCTGAATACAAAAAAAGAAAGAAAAAGGAAAAAGGAAAAGAACCCCACATATTGCAGTGTCCTGGAGACCTTTTTGACTCATATTTATGACGGTTGCAGTGTCCCAGGGTAACATGATCCCCTTTTGTGACCTTCTGACAAGCAAATGTCAACAAGGAAGCCATATTCCCTTAACAAACACATCACAAACTTAAGAAGTTCATTGATTCACTTAACAACAGTGGCAAGAAATGTCGTAAAATGGAGCAAAGTTCCCTTAACAAGTGTCTCACTCAAACAACAGAAATTCTGGGCTCAATTGTGGTCGTAAGTTGAGGACAACCTGTATTGTGCATTTTTTTAAAAAAAGAACCCAAAACAGGCAGCTGTAGCTATTTTACTTGAGCAGGATGTTTGTTTGTCTCCAGGAGAGGATAACCTGGGGGAATGGAGAACAGAAGGCTGTGAAACCGACACCAGCCAGGAGGACGTTGTTCTCTGCAAATGCAGCCATCTGACTTATTTTGCTGTCCTTCTGGTAAGCCAGTTGCTCTTTGGGTCTCTGGTGCACCAACTTCTTCTTGAGAAGGTCTTCTGGGAAATTGGAGTGCTTTGGATGCAACCTTTGCTCTGTTGAAGGCCCCTCGGTGGAAATGAAGTCCTACCGAGCAGAGAACCTCAATCTTTTTCCATATGGTCTTTTGGCAGCTATTTTGTAATCTCACCTAAAATGAGGCACAAAGTATGCCCAGTTCTATGTAGTTTTACTTAGCATGAACCTAAATGCCAAGAGAAGGCAATGGAAGAGATTATTTCTGCCTGCACAGTCATGCCATTTGATCGCTTGAGAGTAACAATGTAAGGCAGTGATGGCGAAGCTTTTCGGCACTGAGTGCCAAAAGGGGAGCGCACACACTCATCGGGGCCACAACCTGGAAGAGGAGCACCCAGGAGGCATGCGCATGCCGGGAAATGAACTTCCGGTTTCCGGTGCACACATGTGCCCCAGCCAGGTGGGCTTCTGGTTTCTGGCATGACTGCACGTATGATGATCAGCTGGCCAGCGTGCCTGCACACCCTGGAAACCAGAAGACCAGCTCTTTCGGTTTCTGGCATTGCTGCACACATGAAGGCGAGCTGATCGTCATGCGCACATGCATGCGAGAAACCCAGAAGAGGAACGGGCAATAGCATGTGTGCCAGGAGACATGGTTCTGTGTGTCACTTTGGGCACGTGTGCCATAGATTCTCTGTCATGGGTCTAAGGTAAGAAGAGGCACTGTTGGGTGATAGGGCAACTCTAGAATTTGGAAAGCATGTGATGGGTGCATAGGCATAACCACTCATGAAGCACCCATTGCCTAGAAGGGGCAGCAATGGTTAGGATGTTCTCTTCTACCCCAGAGCGAACTTTGTGGACCTGGGAGACCCCTAGAAGTCATGAAGATGGTAGAGGTTGTTGCTTTGCCTTGTAACAGGTCAACAGCCTAAATCTCTATAGAGATTNAGTTTATAAGTGATGTCCCGAGAAATAAAGTGGAAAAGAAAAAAAGTACGTTCCTAGAACAAATTAATAGTTGTGTGATAATAATGCCAATCAGTTAAAACCTGCTGAGTTCAGAAACTCAGCTGACCAATTTTCTTAAGATGGCAATCCCATATCAAAAGTCCTTTCCATGTAATCTTTAAAAAAAGATAAACATCAAAGTTCAGATTTTCTCCTTTTTATGAATAAACAAATATCAAAGAACTTGCTTAATATTGAAACTTTTAATTCATAAGCTTCCACCAAATATTTTGATCAGGAAAGTAGTTAAAATGCATATGCTAGGATGAGCTTCTTCAGCGTCTTTCTCTAATATTACTGTGCTTTTATTTAACTTGTATTATAGTTTTTCTCCCCTAAAATGACTTTATAGGAAAGGGCATTTAGAAACTTTTGCTTAGAGATAATGCATTTCTTTCCCTAAAGCCAATTGGAAGCGGCCAGATCCCCAAATGGAGATGCCAGGAATCCCACTCATAAAGGATGGAGGTGGAAACAGAAAAAAACATCATATTTTAGCTCAAGGTGGATGAGATAGTTTGTAATGGGTTGAAACTGCATTCCAAACCATAATTCACCTTTGCATTACTCAGAAAATATTTAATGATGCCCTGGAGATCTGTGCATTTTGAAGAGCAACTAGAAGGAAAATATTAGGACTTTACATTCCTGTAACTTTGAAGTCTGCTGTGAAACTCAACGTGGCCATGTCCAGGAACAGTACATCAGTTCCTTTTCATAGTAGATTGAGATATCACACCCAGAGTTTATGATTAAAACATTTGTGGCCTAGGATCAATGGGGCAACTTCTCCCTCAAATTCAGAAGGTAGGAAAAAAGTCTGTGGGCCTGAGGGGCAATAGATAAAGGAGGATAGCTGTAGCTCAGTGTTGAAATGAGGGGTCCTTGATGCTCTCTGAGCTTGGTTGTGGCCTTGCAGATGTTTCATTTACCCAAA